AACCCCCAAACAGCACTAGCTGTGACCAATACCAGGTGCGCTGCCTGTCGTGGATCCATCTCTCTGCCCGTGCCCTCCAGGACCTCCCTCTCCTGCCACGCTTCATTTCTTATTGCAGCGTATACTTGCGCCAAAGCTCGCCATTGGGGGAATTTGGGCCCAACCCAAAAAACATGTGTGTTGTTTGCTGCGGTTGCAAGTGCAAGCCTAAAAACGCGGTCGAAGCTGCTTCCACTAGCCAATTTTGGCCTAGAGTTTGGGGTTTGGTGGGCCATGTGGTGCGCTTACTTTCCTGCCAAAACACATATGTGTTGGGCATGCCTGTGTGCATGCATATACACTTATGATACGCGTGTGTATATATATATGTATATATATATATTAGTATATATATTTGTGTGTCAATAAATAAATATATATCTATATATATATATATACATTTCTATCCAAGCTCAAGTTACGCTCCTACGGCAACTTTCCTTTTTCATCGACTCGCCAAGTGATGTCTTTCAACCTGCAAGCCTCTGCAGGATTTGCGTTGGGTAACCTGCACTGGCAGGTCTGTCACAGTCAGACTAACAGTGGTTGACCTCCGGTCACTCCGCTAACCACGACCGGTCACTCCCGTCCACAACCGCCTTGGGGTTAAAGGCCATCTCTGTGACAGGGCGCAGTCCCCTGCCAGGCTGGAGATCCCAGAGGGGGCCCTTAGGGTGGGCTGGGTGGGAAAAGAGAGAACAAACGCTATATTGGCCAAGGCACTTGACCCAAAATGTTCGTTAGTTATGAGATATGGTGGAAATGAAGCCATGTTCACCCAAGCCTGCCAGACCTGAAACATGATTACATTTCTATCCAAGCTCAAGTTACGCTGCTACGGCACCTTTCCTTTTTCATCGACTCGCCAAGCGATGTCTTTCAACCTGCAAGCCTCTGCAGGATTTGCGTTGGGTAACCTGCGCTGGCAGGTCTGTCACAGTCAGACCAAACAGTGGTTGATTGACCTCCGGCCACTCCGGTAACCACTCCCAATGCACTCACAAAAATTCCCAACGCGCTTAGAGAAATTCCATGACTGTGATGACTGCGGGGATCGGCAAGTACCAGAGGCAAAAAAACGGTCAAGTCACGGAAAAAGGTTTGAATCCGTTGGTACGCCACCAAGGATCGTGCCAGCCTAACCGGGAGATCGCGTCCGCCCAGTTACTCTTGGAAGGAATGTCTTCCCAATACATCCATGTCCGCAACGCGTACAACATGATATGGATCAGGCCACACATGCGTTCGAGGTCCGGTGAACGCGACCGGCCACGGATGAGACACATGAGTGCTGCCGCGTTGTCGATCAGCCAGATCCCTCTCCTACCTGGGAAAAGGTCTGCATGTGCGGCGAGCGCATAAATGATCATCACCATTTCCAGCTGTGCTATCTTCCTGTCCCCAGGTTCCCACAGCTGGTAAACATCTGGAGGGATGTCGGCGCTTCGCGAACCGGTCCTCCGGGTCGTGCCACACCATCAAAAATCCTCCTGAGCCACACCCTGGTTCCTCCAGGGCGGCGTCAGAAGCGACTACAAATCTAAGGCATGGCAAAGGCCTCCCTGGAAGTTCTCGACAAGGTCGGCGAAGTTGCTCAGGATCTCGGGCGTGAGGTCCTTGGATCGCTCGGCTTGTCGTGCTTTGATGGCAGCTAAACCTGCGCAGCCCAGCCTGCCATAGACGCCTGGCTCGAGAAAGTTCAGCATACCATAGAGCTTGGAAGCTTGCCCATGCAGATGACAAGCTGGAGGCTCCTTGGGCGTCTGACAGCATGGCCAAGGTCTTCTGTAGAAGCCGGTCCCGGGCCCAAAACGTGACGATGCCATCGCTCAAGTCGTGGTCCAAGCCCAAAAAGGTGCCCGAAGGCTGTATCAATTGCTTCTTCTCCTCTGCAAAAGGGGGTACCCAAGAGGGCGTTCAGCTGACAAAAGGCGCGCTGACTAGATCCCAAGCTAGACTGGAGGTCGGTGATACGCACGTCATCAAAGTACATGGAGACCAAACTAAATGTGAGCCTCCTTCCTAAGGCTTCGATCAGCCGTGAGTATCGATTGAACGATGTCACCGCAAGAGGTGGCCGAAGTAGACCTGAAAGGCTGGCTCCGCCCGATCCGCATGCCAAAAGCATACTATGCAGCCTCGGCTCTCATCTCGGCTGATGGGGGGGTGTCTGTAGGCATTGGGCCAATCTTCGCCGCCTGACTGCCAGGCATCTTGACTGGTGAGCTGGGCCCAGCGATCGTCTGACATAAGGGAAGCCACGGCACTGATATGCTGCGCTGGCCGCAATGGCGAGCGCAACACCAGCTTGTTCCAGTCTGAGGATCGCTCGGACTGCCCCCCTGTAGCGCCGTTGTCGATGATGCGTTTCTTTCCCGAGGACTGCACGATGACACATCGAGGAATCAGCCGAAATGGTTGACCACGAAGCTCGCGTATCAACTGCGTGTAGGTGAGGGGCTCCGTGCAGAAGCCTTGTGCAGCATCTTGCAGGGTTTCTTCCAGGAGGACATCATCACGACGACCTGGCTTGAGCCGTCCCTGCTGGGCTGCGAAAACGCCATACGGTGGCGCTGTGCCCACGGCTGGTAGGCCTGCTATCAGGCCATAGGGGTAGGTCACGTCTGCCCACGAGGTCAGCACGACAAGGAGAGCTGTCAGTCCCAAGTCACGTGCACCGGCCACTGTCCGCACTGCCGGTGTCTGAAAAGATCGGAGGTGCTCGCCGACGGAGTGCCATCGTTGCTTCAGCTCAGTGAGAACGCCCAAACTGTGCTTCCGACACTTAGGGAGGTCCGCAGGCTGAGTAGCGTAGAGCTCGGCAAAAAACCACAGATCGTCATCCACCAATGGCTGCTGCTCTGTAGGAATCGGGGCTTGGCTGTGGATGCATGCAGGGCGATAGTGTTCATCAGGCTCCAATCCGTAACTGAGCAGAGGTGGCAACGCTGCTTTGTGGCTCAGTGCTCCGGCTTGTTGACCTTCAGCGTTGCGCTGGCGCTGGCAAAGTGCTGTACCAGCCAGGTGCGGCCCCAGGGGGCCATCGGACTTCAAGTCGTATTGCTCTCTCCAGCTGACAAAATCACGGAAGGAGGACTGATTCATCAGGTCTTCAGTCTTCAATCATCGGGAACTTGAATTGACGAAACCAATCGCCCGGAAACAATCGTCGGAAACAGGTAATCACTCCTTCCTGTGACGGCGCTTGCAGGGCCGTGGCATCGAACACTAGTCCCGCTAGCGCGTCTGCCTCGCAAACCTCGCCTTCATGGCGGCAGTCGCAGGGCAGGGTCTGTCCTGCTGATGTACTCGACGTAGCATGGCAGCCCTTCCTCGGCTGCGCAGTCATGGCCAGGGGTGTTGGGTGAGCACCAATCGGAAAGAGGTAGTCGATGAGAGCGGTGGCCCCTCCCCACATAGACACATCCGGTGGGGAGCTTGCCATCCTGCGCTTTGGGAACCCTTGCTCTCTCCTGCTGGTCTAGCCCGCAACCCGAGCTGGATGGCCAAGGTGCACATAGCACGGGGATCATACTGTAGCCAGTGTTCTCAGCGGCCCATCTCCACCGCAGGCATCCACGGTGCTCACAACTGAGCGCGGCACTCTGCTTCCTCATGGTTATCAAAGACTCGCTTCCCATTGCATGTATACGGCTTCCATTCGTCTGGATCGCGCTGGTGATGAAACTGCATTGGTGGCCAGGCTGTGATCTCATCCACGTTGCGCCTCAAGCGCTGTTGTTTGCGTCGGGCTCCCATGAAGCAGCATGCTGCGTAGCTGCGTAGCAGGTGTCGGACCAATGGCCTGACTTCATCATGGCTTTCTCGTGGGGTAGCTCCCAGTCGTGCAAGCTCCGGAGAGGAGGCCCCCCGCGAGCAGCAAGATCCTGGATCTCGCACAGGATGAAGGCACATGCCTGGTTACCCCGAGTCACTCGGTGGAGGTCCCTCCCCTGAGAGTGGGTAAACCTTCGGGGGTACTGATTGGACCGAAGTGGCTGCGGTGCGGGACGTCCATCTTCAAAATGCCTAGGTATTTCATGGGCCCGAGACTTCGTACTGCAATCGAGAGCTGCGCAAATGCAGCCAACTGTGAGAAGCATGGTATGTAGTTCCGCCAGGAAATCCTCGTCAGCTAGGTCACGCTGGGGATTCAGCAACCATTCGATCGTAATGCACCGCCAGCCGCAAAAGAGAAAGGCCTTGGTCAGTGGGGCATTGGGACCCGACATCAGGTCAGCCAGCAGGGGCCCCTTTCCCGCGTGGCGCGGCGCTGAGGTGTCTGACCCTGAAGAGGCTGCCGCCGCCCCTTCGGGCACCCTCAAGCCTTGGGGCCATTGCGGCATGCAGATGCGCCATGGTTAGGGGCACCACATACTCGCTCTTTCTTGGTCACCACGCCGCAGCGGTGCTCTTCCCCAGGGCGAACTTGGAGGGCCGTGGAGTGGCTGGAGGAGGAGCAGTCTTCGTGGGGGTGGTCAAGGGGTCCGCGGCTGCCAGAGGTAACCAATGGGCATCCCGCGCCATGACGCACTCTCACGGAAGCGGGCAGTCCATTCGGCTCGCTCCTATGTGGGCTTGAAGCCAACTCAACCGCT